TGTGTGTGTGTGTGTGTGTGTCCATGCTCATCGCCAAATTTCTGATATGCCCCGGTAGCATCTCTCCCTGGGCCAGGGGAAAGACTGCGAGTGTCAACAACGGCCACAGGGGCTCGTCGGAAAGATGGACGGTACCAATAAGGGCATATGGGAAACTTTTGTGCTGGTTCTCAACGGCCATCCGGTAGGGGCATACTGAAAATTTGGTACTCGTACCGGTAGGGGCATATGAAACATTTTTTAGGCCCAAACGACACCAGGGGTTTTCTGGAAACATCATTCGTCGTCAGAGGGGCACGACAAGGTAAGTTGGCCGTCAGAGGGGCACGCCGCAAATAAACGCAAACTTCAAGGGCATTTCGAAAAATTTCCCAAATAAATAATGAATAAAAGAAAAAGCAGAATACCCGCGCATCCTCACTTCCTCCTGGTCACTCCCACTCTCCATCATTAATCATTTTCCTCTCTTTCACTTACTCACACGGACGTTCGCCGTCGGTACCTCCTCCATGTTGACAGTCCCCCTTGGCGTTGACGTGACATCACCCGGCAATGTCGTACCAGCAACAACGGCTCACGGACAGGCATGGGGTCCAACGGACTCGGCAGCTTTGTCCCCTGCGGTCGCAGTCCATGTGCTAGGTTCCCTCCTGGTCGCCTGTGGTCGCCTGAGTCTCCAAATGCCCCTGATCGTCTCTCTCCCTCCTCTCTCCTCCATGGTTACGCACCCATGTCCACACCAGTGAGTTGCGTGCACCCTGGTCGCCTGCCCTAGTGCGCCCCGTTCCCCCTGGTCTCCCCCGCTGCCCAATCCCCCTTGTCAATTGGTCTGGGCTATATGCGGACTGTCGCCCTGGTCGTGGCCCCTAGCGGACCCAAGGTACCAGGAAATCCAGGTTCTCAGGCCCGGAATAGTGGCGGTACCAGCGCAACCCATGTAAGTTCAGTGGACCAACCGGGTATGCTGCCTCAAGCCCATTAAGGCGCAATGCACTCAAATCAAGCCCTGCAAGCCGAGTCAAACGAAAAGTGGGCTCTTCAGGGCCAACGTGGACGCAACCCGTACAGTGCCGCACCACGCCAATACCAAACTAGTGTTCATAACAAGGCAAAAGTACCGATCATGACATTGCTGTTTTGAACTGCAGCAGCCTGTACCGCTACCATACCAGTGCCGAAACCCAAAATATCCGTTCCGAGCCGCAGCAACCTGTTCCGTACCATTGTCGAACCAGCACTAGATCTTAAACAACCGTCTTGAACTGTGGTAGGCCTGAACTATGGCGATGCCGAATCCTGTCCCGAAGCGGCGTACCGAGCTCGTTCCAACCCAGCACCATACCGGACCGATGTAGAACACCGTACCGCGTCTGTAGATGAATCATACTAATATAATAGAACCGCGTGACCCATCTTGTTGTACCACCAATAGCAGCACCAAGCCAACCATGTCACCGTAGCCCAAAAGTCAGCCCCGCTCACCCAACAACAACGAGTTCATATCGAGGGTAGCAATCAGGAGGATTGGGGAAGATCAAGGGAACTCATAAGGATCGACGGATAAAACGTAAATAAATTATCCCCGACAAAAACACCATCAGAAATAAATCCCGACAAAAATTAATCAAAAAATAAATAATCATTTATTTTCCTTCCTTTTTATTATTTTAATTATTTTTCTCAGTTTTAATTCTGTTGTTGGAATTAATAAAAAATAAAGGGTTATTTCCTCGCCAATTGCTTAGTGTTAAAGCTGCGCGTCGAGGCGTACTTCCATATCTTCGTACCTCGGTCGCCCGGTTCGGAAAAGGCCGCGGAACGGACGAAAATAGTTGGAGTTAGGCGGGACAGGCGCCCCCGTTCATCATGTTGACTTCAAGGGTCAGCTCTAACAATTGACGGGGGGGGGGGTAGGGATCCCTATCTGACCCCTAATTTTTTCCTATGCCTCTGATAAAAAGACCGGTTGATTTCTCCCTAGACACTGAACCCAGGGCCCAATCCTTTGAATTTCGGGTGGCCGACTGGTTTGCGGCCGCCCGACAAATAAGCCCGGACTTCTTCTCGACGCCCCTGTCGAGGCCTTACCTATCTGTCCAAAGAGCATGTCATTGACTCGAAGGGTGCTTCTCTTCTTACAAAACTGTCATCATTGAGCGGAGAAGGACATCCTCCAGGACTACAGAGCTCAACAGTCTGTAGCATCATCCACTACGCTCTAAGGAATCATCCCATCGTTAAGTAAAATACGTCCTGAGACACATTCTCTCAGGCATTAAAAAAAACGGGGTCGGTGCAGTCCGCTCTAGCTGTCTCTTATACACATCTAGATGTGTATAAGAGACAGCTCCAGGACTACAGAGCTCAACAGTCTGTAGCATCATCCACTACGCTCTAAGGAATCATCCCATCGTTAAGTAAAATACGTCCTGAGACACATTCTCTCAGGCATTAAAAAAAACGGGGTCGGTGCAGTCCGCTCTAGAGCTCGAAGCCGTGATTGATGTGCAACTGGAACGACGTTGGTATAAGGTTTGTCTGCTAACGGCCTAGAATTAGCGAAAATTTCATTGGTCGGAGGTACCGGTTTTCCTCGTTCGGGATCAATAAGAATCGTGGGTTCATCTCGCGTTCGCTTGGACGCTTCCCGTATGGAACATCGCATACACTGACTCAGCGGTAACCTCAAGGGCGTTGTTATATCAGTAACCCCCTTTGGGCCTCGTTTCCGTGGTAAGAAAATCCTGACACTCCGACTTTTTACCGTCGCCTTCACCTCGTCCAACGACTCTCGTTTTACCACCAAGTCCTCTTCCTTTGAAGGATATACGGATGTACCCCTTAGATTGTCGGTTCTCTTGACGTACTCTCGGTCCTCAAGTCCCACTACGCCATAGTCTATTGCCTTCTGAAAATCGGGGCAATCTCTCCCGATATGGTCATCCGAACAACAATAGACGCATGTGTTACGAGAAGAAGAAGGTTCATCCTCTACACGTCTATATCGTCCGTGCCCGCCTGATACTCGAGCATCCTGAGGACGTGGATCAGGCTCACGTTGTCCTCTGACATCATCTCAATGGTCCCGATCAACATCTCTCCTCTCGTACCGCTCCCGGGAATTGTCAGGTCGGTCCCTCGCCGTCACATTGCCATACCTCTCTAGACTCTTATGATACTTCTCTGCATCCCAGAGGTCTTCGGGACCTCGATCATATCTCGGGGAGTGAGGGTAGGTCTCTACCTGACCGTCTCGTCGATACCCGTTGTCCCTATCTCTCGTATAGTCTCTGGGGTAGTCAACCGGTCGATCACGATCTTCGTTCTTATACCTAGGGAAATTGTCGCGACGTATATAACATTGTTGCTCCCTCGGTCGATAATCGGCTAATGTCCGAGGGTTTCTATCGTCCACTGTAGCACTTTTTCCAGTGGGGCCACTTCAGGCGACCGGAAAGCCAACAGGCTGTTACGCAAGATTTTGTATGTCTTTGCAATAAATAAAATGAATTAATTAAAGCACATCCCTTCCTGTTGTATGCGTCCGGCTTCGAGCGAGACCCTTCAATTATAGTCTTCGCTGATCCCCGGTCTTAGGAATCTCTTATTTTGATTCGGAACAGCAGAGAAACATGCAAATAATAATCACAAATTCTGATATGTCATGCACGCATCCTTTTGCCAATTTTTCTAGTTTTGAAAACTGTGCCAAGATCATCAGAAAAAATGCAGTCATCAGCAAAACAATGCAAGAAGCAAGATTGACTGACTCGAGCAATGACAAACCCAGATGAGGGAAGAATGAAAACTCATAATAGTTTAAGAAAGTACGCATGTAGAGACCATGGCCAACACCGATCAAGAGTCCTCACTCATCCCTCTGAACCTCACACTCAATCTCCTTTTTTTGTTGTCTGTCGTTTGGGCTTTTTGCCATGTCTCCGTACTCTCTGAGGGTGTGGCCTCTGTACGTAGAGCCACCTGAAGCCTGCAAGCTCCGAGCACTTCCATCCAAGTCCCATGATACGAAAATCAACCATGGAACAAAACTCCTCCCATAATATAGGGAGGTACGGCTGAGAGAAGATCCCTCGTCTGAGATGTGGGAACTCAGAAAGCTCAGTCACTGACTCGTAATCGATCGCTGCAGGTGAAATGTATCTCTTTGCCAGGTCCACCAGGTCACTCCAGCAAGAGACATCTGTGAGAGTGAAAGGTACCGGAGGCTTGGGATAGTCAGTGTAAAGCTTAGGTCCAAAGTTGCGAATTAGTTTGGTACCGATCTCATCGAACTCTTTCTCTTTTTCTTCCAGGTAACTGGCCGCTGAGACCCAGACTGAGTCCAAATGCTCACGAGTCTCCTTACCCTTTCTAGGTCGTGAATGGTTCCTCCAGCGAACACAGTGTGAACCACAAAAATGGACAGCTCTTCTTGTCTGAAGCAAACTGCACTGACATACTGATACCGAAAGGAGTCCCTAGAAGCGACTTGGTTGAGGCTAGAGAGAACAGTCTCAGGGGCACGGAGCGACTGTACTGTACTCATGTGGTGAATGATTTTACTGCTGATTTCTAATAATTCCCTCTGAGAGTTTGTCTGGTTCTGTCTGAGAATCACATGTACCTTTGAAGATTGGGTGTCATTTGAATTTTCAGTTCGTGTGATGAGTGAAAGTTACTTGATTGGATGAAGTTTACTTAAATCGACTGGATGCCAGGTCGAGAACCGATTGGTTGCTTAACTGGAAACTGATGGATTGATGATCATTGAAACTGATTGATTAAATGCTGGTTGAAAATAATATGAGCACGCATGTGCTCACTTGAGCCTTGCCTTAGCTTGCTCAAGGGTCTCTAGTGAGGAGCCTGTACTATGCAGTTTCCCATTTGGTTCGCAGATGTAGAAAATGTACTCAATGAGCTTATGATGACCTTTTGTCCTCTTCACAACAATCTCTCTCAGCAACTTCTTATGTTTTTCAATCTCGCCTAGTATCTTATCCTCCCAACCTTTCGTTTTTGCCTGATATAAGGCACAGGTTATAGACAGGGTGTCCTTGCTTCCCATGTTTTTTTTTCAGCCTTCACCTTTTCCCTTCGGGCTTGGGATTAGGAAGCATGTAAGAGCGTTCTCTGAACTTCTTTCCCAGCTAACCGCTCCTAGATACAGCCCCTTAGGAACGATGTTGAGGTGATTTAGAGTCCGACGACTTCCAGTCCAAGCTAATCCATTAGTTTTACCACATGACTGAGTTCAGTTTCTGTACGCGCCGCGAGGTGCCCCCTGTAGTTCTCGACACTCGAAAGGTCGTTTAGGCGCTCACTCCGTTCTGGACGCGGACAACTCTTCTCCAGCTTAGCACACGATGAAAATTTACCAACGGATATTACTCTCTGTGTCCCCACCGAGACCCCTCAAGACTTATTATTATCGGGGTAGTACAGACAACTCCTCTCACCGACATCACTCTTGTCTAGGGTCGGAAATGCCTGCAACAGTCTAGGCCACTCGACATGGTCTTTGAGATCCCATTAGTCCCGTGTATAGCTTGATTTTTCTCAGTCAATTAATAAGAGTAATTAAATTAAAAGAAAGGGACTTATTTGATAATGTCTCCGGGCTTTGCTTCTTCTAATACGGACCCTACTCCAGCAACCTTTGAACGGGAAGTTGAGGCAGTTAATTTGTGATCGAGGCACTCGGTAATTGTCTGCAAGACGTACAGTAGCCGGACCACGTTGCAACCTGTCCCGTGCCAGGGCTCGTTTTCTGATCACACTCATTGCAAGAACTGAGTTCAGTTTCTGTATGCGCCGCGAGACACCCCCTGTAGTTCTCGACACTCGAAAGGTCGTTTAGGCGCTCACTCCGTTCTGGATGCGGACAATTCTGCTCCAGCTTAGCACATGGTGGAAATTTACCAGCGGATATTACTCTCTGTGTCCCCACCGAGGCCCCTCAAGACTTATTATTATCGGGGTAGTACATAAAACTCCTCTCACTGACATCACTCTTGTCTAGGGTCGGAAATGCTTGCAACAGTCTAGGCCACTCGACATGGTCTTTGAGATCCCATTAGTCCCGTGTATAGCTTGATTCTGCCCAGTCAATTAATAAGAGTAATTAAATTAAAAGAAAGAAACTTCGTTGATAATATCTCCGGGCTTTGCTTCTTCTAATACGGACCCTACTCCAGCAACCTTTGAACGGGAAGCTGAGGCAGTTAATCTGTGATCGGGACACTTGGTAATTGTTAGCAAGACGTACAGTAGCCGGACCACGTTGCAACCTGTCCCGTGCCAGGGCTCGTTTTCTGATCACACTCATTGCAAGAACTCAAGACACACGGCCCAGACGCACTTGGCTCAACGGGCCAGGTTGCATGGTTATTCAACACCCAAGTAACATAGCCTCGAAAGGTGAACTTATTCTTGTTCAGTGCTACAAGCGCAGAAAGCGCTCGTGTTTTAGTTGGGATGTCGCTGCATGTACTGTCTGGTCTAGGTCTAACAAGCTAATACAAATCAGGACCCTGAGCACATCGCGTTACCGAGCATGGACTCCGCCCTCACTCTGCACAACGAGGCATCGAATGCGACTGACGTTTATGCACGGCACAGGTGGGTAATCAGACGCTAACCCCGCTCTCGCCAAGGGCAGGACTTCGCCCAGCACGTTCTCCGTTTTCTTTCAACACCAGGTTTCCTACGCAGCCCCTGTTATCTTATGATGCATGAGTTTGACCAAGCGCCCTCCCGTATCCGTACACAACAAAGGAGTTCCACTGTGCAACGTTTCTTGTCCGCTCATCATTTGAAAATATGTGTATATATATATATATATGTGTGTATGAACCCACCGTTAGCATGACAAAGTCAGTGCATGACCTTTTAATCACCATCAAATAGAAACTTGGCAAGAAGGTAGGCGATTCTTTTCAACATCACTTTCTTTTTCCCCATCAACCAAATAAAATAGGAACACCGACGAATCTCTGTTCCTTCTGAAAACCCAGACCCGCCGAGTGAAGTCGTTAGTAGGTAGGGTCTCCTTTCAATCCGATCGCAAGTAGTGAAAATTATCGCTTGTTTTGGGTCAGGCCTTTCCTATCATTGCTTTGTGCTCGGGAAATTGCGAACGGCACCAGTCCAAGCAACTCGTCAGTTGGAACACGTCCGCTTACAGGGATACAGGAGCAGAGCAGAAAAGAAACTTAGGAGAAAAGGACTCGAAGCTCCGCAGTAGCACGCTCATTCGTTCGCCCCACTGCTTGCCCATTATCTCTCCAATAAACAATAATTATTCCCTCTTTTCTATCCGTGATTGTCCCTGATGACTATATTTATCACACATGAGGTACACACCTCTAGTTACTGCGGACTTGCCAGGATGAGAAAGAAGATGTCAGACCGCCCGCCACACGTGAATACAGGAGGGGTAGCGAACGGAGCAATAGTAACCGCTACATTTAATATTTCTCAGAAAATCGACCATAAGTCCCAGTGTACTTGGAACAAGATAAGACTGCATTCTAGCGGTTGGCCCCACCCATTCCAAAGTTTTATCCTCTCTCTCACGACCCAACAAAAAACAGTTGCACACACAATCAGGTAACATGCACCGTTCATAACAAAAGTAACATCTCAAAATCTGTCAAACTTTGACAGACACTCGCGAGGCCCTGCACCCATCCGATCCAGTAGACTCTTATCCGTTGAAATCAATCTTCGTAATTAGCACGTACCTTAATTCTCGGTTTAAACTGGCATTTCTCTTACGTTGTCACTTATCTCTTACACAAGCTTAACTGTATGAAGTAGCCACATCACCTCATGGTTGATGCCACAGGCGTCGCTATTTTGCTCATACTTGTCGGATGAATATTTTTTCACTCTGCCTAGCCAGGGCTCGTGTGTGACTCGCACTTAGCACAGTCCCTCATCTACACCATCATAATCTGTAGCTGCTATAAGGCGAACTCACACAACACTAATTCAAGAAAGAGGGTAACTGTCTCACATCCATAATGAGAAAACGCCAACAAAGAAAACATGCTTGTTCTTACTCTCGGGGAGAGCAGAATCTCAAAGCAACTATTCAGTGTGCAACCGCTGAACTCTCATTTCCCAGTGCGTCCCTTTCACCCCATTGTATCTCACTTATCAAACCATGTACGAGAATAATTGTCGTCAACCAAATTAGAGGGCACGACCCCCACCCCTTTTTCTTTTGTTTACTGACGCCTCTCCTAGCGTAGGATGGCTAGTGCAGCGCCATGCCAATCCCTCACAGGCTATGCAGAACGCGCCTGCATCTTCCCCTTTTTACATGCAACCTCGTCTCTTCTTGCGTGACCTCTTCTTGCTCTATCAAGCATGGGTCAGCTGAAGCGCTCACGCAGACCCTCCTTTCACATACTCATTTTTGAGAGGGGCATATTGGTGGTCACAAATCAGCACCAAGAGATGCTCGCCCAATCACGGTGGTGACAGGATAAATGCCACGCCCAAGCATATAGCAAGAGCCAAGTATACCTTTGGCAACCATGATCATCGTCATCAGACAACCTTCGCAGTGGAGGCGAACTGATTGTCTTCTACTGATACTCCCTCCCACTTTCCCTTCTGATCACACATACCCACGCGCCTGTAATTGCTTCTCTCTCACCCAGACATCAGTGGACACACGTTAACCTATGAAACTCTCTCTTCTCCCGTTCTTGAACACAACTATTACGTTGTCTACCCCTTCTCTCGCTCGTCCTCCCCTTCTCGACAGTCCGTCCGTCCCTTCATCAGCAGGGATGTCAACCACATAGCAGCTCCTCTTTCTCGCGTTCGCTCACACTTCTCGTGCACACACACTTTCGTGAGTTGACTCTCATGCTTTCCAGTCTAGCCACGCTGGTCTTTCCGTCGTCTCGAGTTGACTTTCGGGCAACTCTCAACAAGCTCCGTAGACTCAAAACGTCATGTGCGAACACCGAGGCAACAGTTGATGTCAACAACACCTTACAGGTTCGCGTCCCTCTCGTTCGCCTAGTTTCCCCTTTTCGTTGACTTCCCTCTCACGCACCAGACCACACCACCTGTCGACCGTGTACCGCGCGTCATCGCCCGTACCTCATTTTCTGAGTCCCATGCGCGAAAACTCTCGCGTTCTGCTTGCTCGCGGAACCAACATTGACGTCCGTCAATAAGTCGTGCCTCATTAGCGATCTCTCTCTGTCACTAGTTGTCCCCCTCTCCATGACTCGCCTCCACGTGTTGACCTCTGAGGCACTTCTCTCTCCCCACTTGTTATGATCACACACCCGTCTTCCCTTTTTCCTCCCGTCTGTTCTGTTTCACCCCCTCTGGGTCTCTACCGCCGTGAGCTAGCCTCTGGGCCATCTTTCGCTTATCGCGCCCGAGGGTGGTTCCTACGAACCTGGTCTGTTCCAGGACTGGAGATCAGTTTCCCGGTCACTAGCCTCAGTCTCCGCTTCTGAATCACGATCCAACTGTTGTTGTTCACGTTCCACCGTGTCCGTGGAAGTTTCCACCTCCAAGTACGAGATGGTCACCTTGATCACATCCGTGACCCCGTCCCGTCTGCACCTCTTTTCGGCCCTGTCCCTGACCTCTGTAATCGCCAGCTGCAGTCTCCGATCCGCCCTCATTTCTCTCTTTTTTCCCCCTTCAACATTAACCTTCAATCTTACCTCTTCATTGCGGTGGCTATAGTCTAAGATAGCCGTTACAGTGGGCCCCTCGCCCGACATTTGCTCCCACCTCCGAGTCCAGGTGAACTGAAGGTATTTGGGCCTATAGCCGTGTAGCCCACTGCACCGCGCCATAGTCGAACCTTCGCCAGATAGCACAAGAGCACCAGACAACTAGCCTAGAATAGCGCACTACTTCCACTGGAGGCTCAAGGTGCAGGCAGGATGCCACCGAGTAGCTCGTCGCAAGTAGTGTCCCGACTCTCAAAAAAAATGGGGAGCGCGTCCGACCCTCTTTGAAAAAAACAAGACTAAATGACTCGCCCATCCTTTTCCTTTTATAGGATCACCACTCACCATGACCCTGAGTTCTGAATGAAGAATTCGAGTTGACATTCTCTTTTTCTCTTTTTCTTTTCAAATTCTTCACATTACCAGTTTCAACGCCCCAAAATAATAGATCAAAATAAAACTAAATGATTAAAGAAAAAGACGAGAGACCAAAACTCAACGGTCGAAGCACAGGCAGAACTCACAATGCTACTTGCCTGTTGCTAATCCTCGAGGTGTGACTATAATTCAAAAACAGGTCCCATATCGGGATACCGACAGTCGCCCCTCTCTCTTCAAAACGCACCATCGGCCTGCTTCTATCGGGTACTCGTGTCCGATGGCAAGGAGGGGGCTTATGACCTTCCACGGGGGTGATAAGCCTCCTACCGATGCGGCCCGGGTCGTAGGTCACCCCTCTTTTGAGGTCCTATCGCACGAAGCCCAGTCGAACAGACCTGGCGCAGGGAAACAACAAAGAGTTGAACTAGTCTAATCCGTCTAACGACGATCCCATTTTAAAGTTGACCTGCAGACACCTTGAGACGACAGGCCAAAATGAAAGCCGAGTCTGACGAATCGTATGAAAAGGAAAATTAAATATTGGTAATAGTAATAATAAGGAAAAGAGCGAAAACGTAACGACAGAGCGATTAAAGGCCTTCAAATTTCCCCAAATTAAGGCTGACAGTTCAGTCGTGCAGATTAGGCTTTTTGCTTTCTTTTCACTTTCCTTTTTACATTTCCTTGTTTTCTTCGTTCAGCCCCCTTTTCTCTGACAGCGACCACCTATCCAAGCACCTAACCCATAGCTTGACAAAAGGAGCACTCGACGGGCAGTAGAAAAAGCTGCGTCGACCTATTTACTTCCACGTCCCTGGGCGAACCCGGCGGCTACCACGACCACAGGCCGGTAGTGCTCTGCTGTATAGCAGGGCGCCGCGCCTGCGTGGACCAATCGAAAGTCCAGTGGCGCACCCCCAACCTTTTGCTAAGGTACGCGCCAACTGGACCGGTCCATAACAGGGCATAACCCAGGTGTACCAAAAGAGCCATAGAGGTTCGGAATGACCCGACGAGCCGCCAGCGTCTGAGCGGGGCGCTGTTACCGAGCAGGAGCCTGGCACACAAAGGAGGGCCGGGACACTGCGCCCTCCGACATGATACCAAACCCCCGCCCAGCGTCCCCGCTGGGCCAATTTTTTTTTTTGTTTTTTGCACCAATTAGAATATAAGAGTGAGGATCGCATATCTTCTCACATAAGTTCGCAGCGACTCTCCTCATATAGCATTTTGCGTTAGTGATTAACACCCTCTACTTAGTGCACTTCCCCCCCTTTGTTCTGTAGTGAGTTAACCTTCCGCTCATAACACAATATTTGCACGTCGTTAGTTAATACACGCTCTCCACTGCGCGGACACTTTCGTCCAATCTCCCGTAGCTTACCTACAGTGGGGAACTCGTGTTCTCTCCATACTCCTAGGATTTGCCCCCGCTGCTGTGTGTAAATCCTTACACCATGCCTGAAGCACGTAGGGGACAGGGAAGAGGAAGAGGAGGGAGAGGGGGTAAGGCTCGGGAGGAACGGCTGACCCGTACATGGCGTGACTATAGTTTTAAGGAGGAGGAAGAAGAGGTACGGGGTTATGACGCGCACTCAAAGTCTTACCCACGCCGCCTGCTCTCTACATGGTGCGAAATGACTCCATCCCCGGAAAGGATGGAATACTTCCGGAAGAAGTTCGAAGCGCGCTATGGCGTGCCCAACATTTCCTCCCTTCCCTACACTCGCAGAGCTCCTATCACTCCCACGACGAGTAAAGCCCTAGTGCCCGTTCCACTATCCTCTATCCCTTGCGCAGTTTCCTCGCCCTCTCACTCCAATAACTGTATTTTTTTCAACATTTTCTTTCTCCTTTCTCTACTTCAGATCGAACTCATGACGATTTTCTATATCCTGTATACGCGCGACTTTTTCTCAGCTTTTTAAGTCAGTTCTCTTGCCAAATTTTCAATTCATGCCTCACTCCATAGCGTCCCTGGCTTGAGACTTTGAATACCTTAAGGCCGGGGATGCAGGTTCCTCGTGAACCAGGCTGCTTGTCGGCCACCAAATGAATTTAAGAAGGATTTCTTATCTGCTGTTGACTTTGATCTCTCGCTGTTATGAAATCTGCTCTCAGTCTAAATTTTTCGACAGAGGAAGGTTCCCTCAAACTTTATCTTGGCTGCAAAATTAGAGGCACTGTTAGTATGATACCAACGCTTGTGGTACTCGTCCAGTCTGCCATGCTGGGAGTAGAGCATACCAAACCCTTTTTCTATTCTCTGGCTTCAGTGAGATATCTTCTCAACTTCTCAAGTGGCTCGGGGGATACCAAACCCTGTTTTCTTTCTCTCATCTGAGTGAGGTGTCTCCTCAACTTCTCAGATAAAAGGGAAGGGATACCAAACCCCTTTTCTTTTCTCTGGTCTGGAAACTTCAAGTAAGTCTTTATATACATGCAAAACAGCGAGTTCCACAGACAGCAGACCAGAGAACTTCAAGTAAGTCTTTATAGACCTGCAAAACAGCGAGTTCCACAGACAGCAGACTATGTCCCCAGCAAGCAGATTCCTCAACAGTCAACAGTCAGACAACAAGTAAACAAGATAATACCCGGGGCAAAATAATAAAATAACAAAGCAACAAAATAATAATATAATAATTCTTCATACCCAAAAGTTATTGATTGCCTTGGTTTTGGCCCACCACTGGCCAGGAATGACGGACCTCCCGTCAGTCTGACATAACTCATTCAGCCCGCCTCAGGCTAGGACTAGTCAGACCATTTGTCTTGACAGCTCCTTTGACCCGCCTCCAGGTCAGGACCAACATACCCATTACTCGAGTATGGTAGCCCTTTGGCACTCTCGCCATGACACTCAGACTATAGCGGGTCTGGTCACCCTATAACAGTAGACCTCCCGTCAATCAGACTGTCCCGAACCAGGATTTGACCACTGTGGGCGGGAACCGTCTCACCCACCAGTTTTTGGCCTAGGGCGCTGGCTGCCCCGCCCAGATTTTGAACGTGGGACCCGGTCTAACCATAATTTCAGGCTCTGGTGAACCTCAGTGGATTGCATCCTCTGACTGCGGTAGGGTTCCAGCTGACCCCTTTTCCACCTCACAGGCCAAACCCCCGGAGTCTTAGCCTCAGTCGACTACGGAATTCGACACTCGCGTCGGGGACCTGCTGACCCCACCAGATTGCAACCTACTGCGGTAAGGCTCTGGCTAGCCCCAACAATCAACGACATCTCAGGTTAAAGAAGAAGAATCCAGACACAAACAATCAAGCAAGCATATCATAACCCACAAGCAGACTGTCCATGCCCCATAGAACAAAACAAACATTTCTCAAGAGACGTCACTTCAGTCTCAGGAGGCACTGAACAACAACATGATAACCAACATTAAGCACTTGCAAGAGACCTCCCTTCATTCTCAAGAAAAATGCTTAGTGCTGCCCCTAGAGAGGTCCCTTCCCTCATCTGGGAATTTACTGGAATGCTGATCTTAGAGAGGTCCTTTCCCTCATCTGAGTAAAGACAGGCAACTTAGTCAAGAAACACGAAGTCCCTTTACTGACAACTCTTAGTCAAGTAAAGCTGAACTTCTTTACGCCCGTCCTTATCTGAATTTTTCGGATGAACAACTTAGTCAGAGACACGAAGCTTTTCTGCTGACAACTCTTGATCAGACAGAACTGAACTTCTTTATGTCCATTATGCTTTTCTCTTTTATCATAGAAATAATACTCTGATTACATCTTTCGATGTGCCACAATCATAAGTCTCTCGATTCTTGCCACTGCGTCAATGCTCATTGCAGCTGTATCTCACAGTTACTCCCCACTCTCAGGGACTTGACACTCACGGACTGGCTGTAGTTCTACATCAAAGAAACTTTATCTTTTTAACTTTGTTACTTGCCGAAACAGAAAAATTAACTATCATGCTGAAAACTTGAGATACTGAATTGATAAATGTAAGAATGATCAGAGTCTGCTGAAGGCTCAGTCTTGCAGTCTCACTATGTTCATTTTTAATTTTCCAAAACTGTCTTCTTGCCAGATGACTGTCCTTCTTTTCCTTTCTTACCGGTCATTGTGGGAACTAAGTCAGAGTCTCTGAAAATAAACTTACGGAGTCTGGACCCTGATACCATGTCGTAGATCCTTGAGCCATCCATCTCAGATATCTCATAAACTTTGTCTTCTGCTTCACATGTAATCATGTAGGGACCAAACCATCTGGGCTCCAACCGTTTAGTCCACTGAATCTCAAGAGAACTATCGAACAGAAGGACAACGTCACAAACTTTCAGTTTTTCTTTTCTTATATATCTCTTCTTGTTTCATCTCTCTTGATCTGATAATCTGTTGGATGGCATTCTCTCTGCGACATCCATAACTGTTTGATTGACCTCTGATATTTGTCTCATTTTGATTTGAAGAATCTCTGAAATTAGTCTCTGTCACTCTCTTGACTTGACCATATTTTGACAATGTTCTCAATAGGCAAGGTAGCATATCGACCATACCACATAGTAAATGAAGCATAACCAGTAGACCTCTTGACAGTGATATTGTCAGCATAAACAACAACTCTTAGTACTTTT